TCTCCGGGAAAAAAAAAAACCCCAGAGTTGTTTGGAAATCGTTCCCATCGAGCTGCCCGGGGGGCTGATGGTGCTCCCGGAGCTGCCCCCGGGGCGATGGGGGAAGAAGCCCGGCCCGGACCCCTCCTTAGGGTTGCGGGAGCTTCGGGCTCTGAGCAAACCCCAGGTCACCACGAGGGGTTGGGACTGTCCGGGGGTACCCCCAAAAATCCAGAAGGCTTCTGCCCGCTGGTTATTTTTCAGCAGTACCATCCCCTCCCCCCCAGTTCTGAGTTCCTCCCCCTAAACCCCTCTGGGGGGCATGAAGTGACACCGGCAGCTTCACCCCAAGCTCGCTTGGAGCCTGTTGGATGGGTCACCCCGAAATCTGCACCCAAGGGCTGAGCCCCCAGAGCTGGAGGGGCGGCAGAGCACGGGGCAGAGCAGTTAACGAGCTGCCCGGTAATTAGAAGCAGGGAACAAAGAGCCATTCTCAGCACCCGCCTGGGACGCGGCCACCAGGGCTTTTTGTCCCCGCGCAGGGGGCCAGGGAGGATTCGGGGCCATCATGGGAACCCCAGAGGGGAATGAGGAGGGAAAAAGAATGTGAGATCCAACACTTCCCAGCAGGGACAGCCCTGAGGAACGGCTGGCAGTGGGTATCTGGTCTGGTCACAGCATTTGGGACACAGCTGTGGGGGAGCACCCCCAGGGAAGAAGGATGCCTTTAGTGTCCTCCCAAAAGCTCTAACGAGGCTCAGGGCTTGCAGAAGAAGCAACCAAGGAAGAAGTGGGCACACACGGTTAGGTGAGGGTGGCTGGGACAGGCAGCTTGGGCTGAGCCACGGGAGAAGCTGCTTTTTAGCCTCCCCAGTTACTGCACCCTAAGAGGGACACAGGGATTAGACACCCCTGCCATTCCTGGTGAACCAGCATCCCTCAGGCACCAGAACTCTGACTTCTGGGTGGCAAACCCAACATTTGACCCCCACTATCTCAATACCTGCCCTGGCTCAGGGGACCAAAAGAGCTTTGGGTGCGGATGGGCTACACGTGCCCCTGCAGCCACCAACTTCAGTTGTGTCCTCACTGGGGGGCATCTTGCACAAATCCTGAGCATTGGTGGCTTGGTCTGAGCCCCAGCCAAGGGATGCTCAGTTATGCCCAATGCTGCTCCTTTTTTTTTTTTTTTTTGAGTAATTTCCAAGCTTTTGAGAGGGTGATTTTGGTGGCAGGGCCTGAGACCTTCAGGAAAGGGCTCCCAGCAGCAGGGATCAGCCATGCACAGAGGTGACTCCCTGGTGCGAGGGAGAGAAGCCCCAACATGGACAAAGTTGAGCCAAGAGCAACTGGTGATCTCTTCCATCCACGTGGCCACACCAGGCCCCACCTCAGCTCAGCACCGTGGTCCTGAATCACAGGGTGTATCAGGCTCAGCAGCCACCACTGTGGCTCTCCCAGTATGGCTTAGCTGGCCATCACCATCCAACCAGTAAAGCCACACAGAGCAGCTGCAGGGCCAAATTCCCATCTTCACCTGGGTGCTGCTAGACTTTGATGGTCCTAAACAGCCTCACCTGGGACCTATGCCCCACCCATGGGCCCAGGAGATTACTTAAGCTCAGCTAAAGGTACCCTGAAGGATACTGCTGGTTTCCAGCTCTCATCCTGGCTCTTCTGGACCTCACTTCTGCAAACAGCTCCTGCACCAGGTGGGTCCCTTGGGTGGGTGCTGGCATGCAGGGTGAGTCCTGATCTTGGCACAACCTTCAGGGAGGGTGTTGAACCTAGTGAACTTTGGGTGACAATGAGGCACTTTGATCAGTGCTTGATACAGATCCAGGAGAGGAGAGGGCTGGGAAGCATCCTGGGGCTCTGCAACATTACTGAGCAGACAGAAATAAGTGGTAGCTGCAGAAGCAGCCAGCTTTGGAGCTGCTGATTTGTGGAGCTCTGCTGGAAATGTATGCAGGAGGGGTCAAGGAGCAACAGGACAAATCTGCAGAGGACAGACAGGGCCACCAGCAGCTACCTCATGGTTGAGGAGCAACCTCTGCCTTGGGTGGCCTTAAACTCCTGCTTCTCAGCCTCTGATGTTTGACTGATGTGGGTCACAAGCAGCCTGGGGAGGGAGAGCAGAGCCTGTCACCTACAGGGGCTGAAGCTTCAGTGTTGAAGGAAAAAAACAACCAGCCCAAATTGTGCCAGAGGCTCTTTGCCATGAGGAGGAACCTGCCTGTGAGAGCTGGCCCAGACCTGCTGATTTATTTTGCACAAAATGGAGCGGGATCTGCACCACAAGGACCCGTTGCCCTCATTTATGACAAGCATCCATGACCACTTTTTAATTTGTTGCTAGCCCAAGTAGCTGTGACCGCTGCCAGCACAACCAACGCTGCTGCTTTGTGTGGAGCTGATGATGCTCCAGAGCTATTGTCCAAAGGTTCATTAAATAGCTGAACACTGGCTGGATCTGGAGCATTCCCCTTGCTTAAAATAAACCAGACGGCAGATCTGCAGGGGGAGTAAATTCTCCTGGTCTCACTGAGGCTGATGGGAGGAGCAATGTCACTGCCTGCCCCTTCCTTGAGACCTCTGCACCCAGAAGGATTCTCCAGAAATCATCCCAGCTCCAGGAACCAGGTGGCAAAATACCTTGGGGACATTTCCATGTCCTTGGGGAAAAGCCCCAAGATATGGGATGCCATTCTGGTCCCTCATCTGCAGGCTCAGGGCAGACTGTGGCCTCACTGCTCCTGCAGCACATGTGCAACGAGTTGAGAGGTCTCAGCCCTCAATCCCAGGTGACCTGGAGGAACATTTGCTGTTGGCCAAGAAGGGATTAGGGTTGAGCTGCAACCACAGGGAAAGGGTCAGGCCCTCCAGCCAAAGGGAGGAGGGACTTCTGGGGCAGAGCTGCATTGCTGCCTGGGTTGGGGCCGGATCGGTGCCCTGTGTCCCAGCGGGAAGGCCCATCACCCGGGAGCGCTGCCCACCCGGCTCCTCCGGGCCATCTGCAGCTCTCCTCCCCCACTACCCAGCCAAAGGCAGCTCTACCAAGGCTGACAACTGCCAGGAAGCTTCAGCAAGCAAACACTTCCCAGCAAAGTGCAACAGAATGTTAAATCACAGCTAAAAATATGCTGAAAGAGTTTTATTAGTAAATGCCACAGTGTGTATATATATATTTATATTTTTCTCCCCCTTCTACTGCAAGATGTTTCGGGTCTAGGAACAGCACTTGACTAAATTGCCTGTAAATCACAAATGCCTCCAAAGGCTGAGCTCTGTGACACCAACCTTTGCTAAAAGCCTGCTTAGGAGGATGCCATAAATACATCTACCTTGGGGTTAGGATGAAAAGCTCGTCCTGCTGCCTGTCTGGTTTGAAATAAACAGGTTCCTTAGTGGTTTTTATCAAAATTGTGCTTCTTTTCAGGTATGCAAGGAGCAAGCACTGTAAAGTGGTGAGTGGGTTTTCAGGCTGTTTTCTCCTTGGCTTTTAGTTGATGAGAGGTTTAGTTCTGTCATTTCATTTTTCAGAAATGGGAAGGTCTGAGTGCTCGCCAGGCTGGCTGGGGAACTGGGGGGTCACTTCATTGGGTATTTCCCATCCTGAAGAAGCTGCTGCCAGCCCCCAAACAGACCCAGCACCACCTTTGGGTGTCACCTCCACTTCAGATACAAACTAAATCCACACAAACAGAATGCCCCAATACTCTAGTGATGGAGGGAGAAAGGGATGAT